TGCTGTTTATATACTTCTTGGTGTAACAGATAATACACGCTTTCAAGCATAACCTAAGCAAAGACTAGAGCTTTTATCTGTCAATGACATAGATTTTGTCTAAAATTGTCGGTGCGCAAAATGAATAAAGATAAAATAAACACAGAAATACAAGACAGTTTTAAGAGCAAAAAATGAAAGAATTAATTGTAAATGTAATTCGTGTAATAAAACACAATTTAAACAGTGTAATTTCTAATCGTGTTTATATTTTTGCTATGAAAGAAGCAATACGCGTTGCTCTATATTTCACTGTCTATGTTCTAGGTGTTATTGCCTATGTTAAAATATCTACTAAGTTTTGTGAAGGAGATCTGGTAATTACTATTTATTTTATAATATAGTTCTGATTTAGTCCACTGCCGTTTATGTGATGCTAAGAAATGTATCAATGCCACAAAATGAAATGCAACACACTTTCATTATTTACTAGCTATACTTTGCCATACTTCGCTCTGGCACATTGCATTGATGAGAAATGAGTAGCAAAACTGACAGAAATATAAATAAAAACAAACTCTGAAGCGGTTTGTTCATCGTTTTAAAATTTGAACTCAATCGGTGCAGAATTTATTGAGTTTTTGAAGCGTACACAAACCAACAACATTTTTATATATTTAGATTATTATTTATATTACACGATTATTTTAGATTTCTCAAGTTATGTATAATGGTTATAAACTTGTTTTGATAATGAACTGCATATTTTTTTATGTTATATTATCTATATCAAATACATAATAAAATATGATGTCTGCAACATCGCCAAACCGTACCCCGGGGCGACTTGTATCGTTATGAGTTTTCTAAACCGAAAATGTGAAACATCTTTTGATTCTACGTGTCGGTGTTTATTCATTTTTTTCAGTTTTGTAACTTTTGTTTGAGTGGCTTTTACATGATATACTCACATACGACTTAACTGAGATAAAAAGTTCAAAATTTGTTATTTTCATTGCTATTTCCCTCCCTGTCCCTCTTTATTTTATTTTTTGCAAAAGTCGTTAATAGTAGACACAGGATAAAATTGTGATTGAGACGCCCTTTGAGTCAGCCCCTCCACCGAACTTCCCAATGTTGATCAGAGCGTGCTAGTCAAACGTGTTTCTGGTAATTGTTAAAGGTACATACTCGTATATACTCACGTTTGTATTTTAGGAGACCGCATCTTTATGTACAATGAAGGTGTTTCTCTTATGTTTCAAAGAATTTTGCTTAGCGTTTATGGAATGAAAATATTCAACATCAAAAGTCTAAAGCCGCAAGATGAAATGGGATATCATCCGTAAGCATGACCGGTGCATGAAAGCCCGTCGGGATGTGACCAGCGTCGATAAGTTACGATGTGGAATAAAAGCTTCCCGAGAATACCCGCATCCAACCTCTATCAAAAGGGGATAAAACTAGGCTCACTTTCTATTAAGCAAAATGTTCAGAGGAAGCAAATTTATAACATAATGTAATCCTTTTATTGCTTAAATTGTTCAGAGACATGAGTTAGGTTCATTCGTTTGCTAATCACAAATCAAAATATTAAGTGATATTGATAAATTATATCTCATTATAAATGGTACTTTAGTTTTCTAAGATCAAATAAATGACATCTATGTGATAGAAGAAAACAAATTAGAATTTATATATTTTTAATCAATTCTATTATCGACTAGTCCGTAGTAGAAAGACGTTTTCTTTGGGTAATAAAGGTATATATCATAATCATCTAAATAGCTATGTATATGCCTACATATTATTATAATATGACTAAACCTAAGTGCGGTCAGTAGTATTTGGCTAAACTTGGGTGTAATTACTTATTACTTAGAATACACCTTTGAACTGCCTGACTTTTCTCCAGGTTAATTGTAATCTCACGGAACCACACACATCTCATAAACAGCCGTCTGATCCCTAACTAGGCAGAGCCTGTACTCTGGTAAGCAGACTGCTGATAAATATACTCAAGTATATATTTTTTTATATGTAAATGCTATTTTATATATAAATTACACCCACACAGAGAACAAATGGTCGTCCTCATCACACAAATATTGGTCTTGGGTGGGAATCGAACCCAACCCCTGTTTTAGCAGGTACGATCGCTAATCACTAGACCAATAGGCCCGTCGAGAGTCTGCTGTATCAGCAGACTGTTTGACCTAAGCGTTTGGTTGGAAGTTTGAACTCGCCGCACTCGAGCGCTTTGTCAGGTTATTTTATTTTTCGACTTGAGTTCAGTTAGAAACTTATATTATTATAATATAGACATTACATTGCCAACTTTACAGGAATCATCTGGCTATTTTTTATCCTAGATGTTACTAAAACACTCTATTCAAATAGGTATTTAGGATGCGGTCTAGCTGCGTTACACCTCCCGCCCAGCGCAGCATCCTCATTTCAGCGACATGCAGTCTATTATTTTGTTGTTGTTTGAGGGGCAGCACTCGGCGCCGTATGTTGGGGCCGGTCGTATGGCAACTTTATAGACATTGGTTTTAATGTGTACAGGCATTCTCTTGTCGCACAAACCTGCTGTCAGCTCTTTCCATTTCATCCATCCTGTGTTAATTCGCTGATTTATGTCTGCGTCTATAGTGGCGTTTGTGGAAATTACTGAGCCTAAGTATTTGAAACAGTCGACCTTATTTAGGGGTGTGCCTTCGATATTGATGGTGTTATCGTTGCTTTTGCTGCTGAAATTACAGTGTACGTGTTCGGTCTTTTGTTTGCTCACTTCTCTAGCGCGACCTAGAGAGCCGCTTCCTCTAGCGCGGTTCTCTATTGGTCTAAAATTTTTGCTGTAAGTATAAGTTGGCACACCATATGGTTTTAGTGGGTCCGTTTCCGACACACCGAGTAGTGTGTCGGAAACGGTGTAAACCACTATAGAGTGAGGGCCGTGGGGGTTTCTACACGGAAAAGAGAAGGGGCCGGAGGAAATGATCATAGTTGTTTTTTTTGTATTACTTTTAAACTATTAACTTTAAATCAATAAATACAGCGTCACGACAATATTTCGCGTTTCCTTTCTAATTTACAATACTGTAACCACATGGATATAACATTGAACATAACAGGAAACCGATAGTGTGGCTCTGAGACTGGTCATTTATTTATTTGTACTTTATTAAAAATACTATTTTAATTAAGTTTTTATAAGTTAATTAACACAACAATCAATTAGTTTAAATATTTTACAGAACACAACACTACACACGATAACAGTAATTGATAAATGATAATACTAGAAAAAAAATATTTGTTGTTGCTTTGTGAATACTAAGTCTTAAAGTTTGTTTTATTGAGATGCATAAATACCTATATTTTATTACATTTATGCTGACAATTTTTCCGTGCGGTGAGACGGATAAAGGATACGGAGTATCACTAGCTCTATTCATCCGCTAGGTGTCATAAGAGCCGACTAAGGGAGCACACTACGCAGGACAACAGTACTGCAACAAAAAGAAGGAAAACTTGATACATTCCAACTTGACACATCCCAACCTGTCTGACCAGCGTGGTTTTGAGGGCCGAAATCTCCTCTCTAAGGAGATAACAGATATCTCTAAGCAGACCTATGTCTAGCAGTGGATTAATAAAGGCTGTTGTAGATTTTATACAAGTATTAATTCACTTTTTGTTCGCAATAAAGCACTGATCGCATTGCTTTTACGAAACGGTCGCAATAGCTTCAGAGCTTATACGTTTTAAATTGCCAAGTTACCCAAAAAAAAACCTTCCAACTGATTTTAATGTAATAAAAGCTTCAATAACGCTTTAGTTTGGAGTTCGTTACCTAATTCTATAGAATTGAGATACATTTTATTCTTTTTTATTCTTGATCTGTTTATAACCTATTGCTTTTCCTACAAATGTGTCAGTACTCGTATACCCAATAAAAAATATAGTCTTTACAAGAATTAGTTGAATTATTATATATATTGTTCATGTCAGTAATATTATCAAAAGAGTTGACGTGTATTTGTTTTTTACTTTAGGATTCTAACTATTTCCTAAACACTGTTACTTACAGAACTAAAACGAGAAGTTTCTTGAATAGTATTACAAAAAAACTTATGAGTTCTTTTGGCTGCTATGAGCTGGGTGATTTATAATAATAATAATGATGCCTCGTCTGCTTTTCTACTTGAAAAGTGGCGCCGACTCATAGTGCAGATGGTGTACTCTCTCCGGAATATACGATGAAATACAAATATAACAGGAATCTTATAACGTGCTCGGCTTTGAAGGCTGTTTGTATTATATCGATCTAGACAAATTATTTCGATTTAAGCTGTTACTCAAGACTACAGTGCTATCGTACTTAATAGTTTGCGTAATTGTGTAAGCGTATGGGTAATTCGCGCGTAATCTGACTACTAGTACATTAAACAATCCTAAGAGCAGGGATTACGTAAACGACTGTACATTTTACGTCTGTTGGGCTTAACGGTAGTCTCCTCTGCCAAAGCTGTACTATTTATTAGATTTAGAGGAGGGCGCTTAATGAACATTTATGTCCCTTTATCGACAGAAAATAATAGATTTCACAGTCAAGTTAATTTATGTTTAGATTTTTCTGAAATAATTGGATGTTGTAGTTACAACTCTTCCTATAGAGATGTATTAACAACTTAGAAAAGATAGTTTACTGCTGAAGTATGAGGACTAGGTACTGCAAATAATACGCGGTACTTTTTCTATGCTTTTAGTTACGAAATTTTTTATTTCAAAAATAAGCGAAAAGTCAATAACGCTGAATAAAACCATGTAAGATCCAGCAGTCCTCAAGGATAAATGATATCGCGATAATTAGAAGATATTGGAAATAGGTCTTTGTATAAACTTACTGAACAGAATTAAAATAAGGAAAAATGTGTTGAATATTATTTTAGACTGCAGGTGAAACTCCAGGGAACGTATTGTAATGTAATACCATAAATTCTTTTTGTTACCAGGGATGGGAGGGCCGGACGGAAATAGGCGGAGGAGAGAACGGAGAGTCTCCACCCCCAGCACACGCGCCTCTTGACGCTGTTTGGCAACCAGTTGCCGGCACCAGGTACGTACTAGATCTAGGGGCATGGTAGTGACCCCGCCAAGACAAGCCAAGCGAAGCGCAAGCGGCCTACCTACCTTTTCTGGAAGCGCTTCGTCGTTTTCTTAAACCCTCATAACTTGGGATGGAATTATACCAGATAAACATAATTCTCGGGATATGATGTCAATAGTGGACTTATTAAACATAAAGTTTAGGGCTTGTAGAGTTAGAACCTTGTCTCTATGATCTGAGAAGTTTTTGAAAGTGCGAGCCATATGATCTCGTCTTGGCAACATTTTACATGAAAATGTTTTTGGTAGGATAGAATATTACAGATCCAAAAACTGATAGTTTATATTCGCGTTAATTCCTAATGCACTTGAGAAGAGGCTTAAAAAACTGTTTAGGGAAGGAACAAAAATTGCCACTACTTATTGTACTTATTTGAAGATTGATTCTCATTAATTATCGGAATTTAAATTCATATTGATTGGAGAAATACAGAAAAGAGATTACGTAAATAAAACTGGTTAATTAGGTTTGCTTTAAATAGATAGATTCTTCTAAACCCTTGGTAGTCATACATATTTATACTGACATCCACAAATGGAATTACTGCTATACCCTCAGTGAAGTGGCTCAATCTGTAATTTTCCATTTTTTCTTTTAGGATTGTTCATATAGATAATTTTTTTTTAAATACCTGAACCAATATTGACATCACGTTAAAACGGAATAAGTACTCACTTAATTAGGATTTTTACAAGTTTGTCTAAGAATAAATCACGTCCTTCCCGCGAGGGCCTTAAAGAGGGGACTACCCTCGATAATTACGTCGATATGATTCCCTCGATAGCCATTACAGCTAAACTAGGGAACAAGTCTAAATTTAACGATTACTGCTGCTCTGTATGGATTCCCTTTGATGAAAATTGTGGTATTAGATGATCCATTTGGTTGGACGAGGAATATTTATTGTTTATTTATTTGGCAGTGTTTATCTATATTTAACATTTTTACTAGCGTGTCTCGTTTCAGTCGCTATGTGCTCAAGTGTACTAGCCTAATTATGTAACAGAATAGACTAAATAGAATTAGGTTAGGGTTATGGAACAATTCAAATTTACGAGGCATTGAAATTGAACTCTAAACTATTATTTTTTATTCGTTCCATTATACCCACCTGTCTTAGGCGTGCTTTGGTATAGTAAGCACAGCTGAAACAACTTGTGGTAGTTTCATCATTTGGAAGGAAATGAAATAGATTGATTTTTAAGGAGGTTCTTTAAACTTATTATATCTTCTATATGTACATATATGTATGACCAAACATTTGCTTTAGGATATCTTTTTGTAGGGAGCAAAGAGTTGACATGTCAGCTGACAACTAACGCCTACTACTACCTATTTTAAATACATTCACTAGTTGAAGTGCAATAAAAGAATTGCTTGACACCGGCTTTTTTGAGGACGAAGTATTGGTATTGGGTCCGCCCATATGTGCCAAAGAATCACTCTTTCACTTTTCCGTTCCTTAAAGAGAAAAACCCTTAAAGGATAACCGTAGAACTAGTATCAAGAAAATCGGTTAGAAGCCAAGTCGGTAATATGTCGATTTCACATCACAATTGACATTGATGTCAATTGATTGAATGGAATATTTTTAGAATAAATTTAAAGTTCAGTTTGTCTTTCGGAAAGTCAACCATTATCTTTGAGAATCGGTTCCCGAGAAGGACGAACTCTGATAAGTTTGTGGCCGGTCCTCTTTGCGTAAGTAACTTATAAATAGACTACAGCAACATTGCTAGACAAACTTTTAACTTTTTAAAGGTCTATCTAATTGCTACTATTGTTACTGCAGTTCTGTATACACTGTATTAATTGGTCTGGATATTAAAGTATTATATTTAATCTTTAGCAAAAAAAATATCGCTGATCATCTGTTAGTTATTAGTTTGTTAGTTATTAATTTGTTTTGCTACCTTATCTCACAATATTTTGTTATAATTTTTATTGCAATCAATTTCTGATAGTTGAATCTTTAATAAAAGAAAAATGCCACTCCAATAGGAATTTTCTGGACCAAAAGGCTAATTCTACCTTCTTTTTTTTAAAATAAACTTTAAGTTTAAGTTACATTTTCTTACAATCTAGTATCTTTTGAATTTCTTCTATATGCGTTTGTAATGTATTTACGATAGCTTAGCGGATTCAGTTATCAGTTATGGCTAAGCTAGCCATAACTAATAACTGAATCCGCTAGTGCATAGTATAACATGAACAAAGTACGTCTGTCTAATATTCTTTGGAGGATGTAAAACTTAGAACTGACCTTAATCTATTACATACCGTTTCTATGTGTGGTCTCCAGCTAAATCTATTATCTATGTCCAAAACCGTATTTCCAATAGATATTTATCGTCAACAGCAACCGAAACCACAAATTGCAATTAATTAAATGTAGGCCCATCGAACTAATGCGTGAACCTTTTTACTGTTCAACTTGTGGGTTATCAATTTATTCCCGTTGCTAAATGATCCATACTTATATTACAAACTAGCTTTTGCCAGCGGCTCCGCCCGTGTGTATGTCGGTTATCGCGGTAAAAAGTAGCCTAAGTTATTTGCTGATAATGTAGCTTTCCATTAGTGAAAGAATTATTCAAAAGGGTTCAGTGATTTAGGCGTGAAATGGTAATAAACAAACAAACAAACTCACTTTTAAGTAAGTATGTTTGCTTGTTTAATATTTTTGTGCAAGTTATAGTTTAAGTGTAATATTTTTGTTTTCAATTTTGTTTATATGTCTTAATGTCGTAGAATCATTTCTAACTAAGACATCAAGTAACCTGTATTTAGAAAAGAAAAATCTATCTGTAAGTGGTAATAATTCGTCCACTGTTGTGTTTTGTTCCAGTAGTCCAGTTATTTCTAAGTCATTTTTATATCTTCATGAGCTTTTCAACTAATAAATTTAAGAGAATTACACTTCATTACGACAACTTCTTTCTTCCTTAAACTTCCTCTACCTCGAAATGCGTTGCGTTTGAGTTTGACACTTTTTTCTAAGTATATTTGTCGATACACATTGCATACAATACTATTTTTATATAAAAATAGTCATGGCAGGATAAAAAAAAAATCACTCTTTTATAAACATTTTTGTTGCTGCGAGACTCTTGTAGATCTAAACCTCGCCCTGTTACAAATTATTGAAGAATAGTGTCAGCCACCTTCATAATCCGTCAAGTTTCAATGACTTGCAAACTTTAAGAAATACACCATTGGTTTAACTACTTTTATAATTTTAAAACTATCTACTGACTTCTGACATTTATTTTAATGTCAGTCATCAATTCGATATTCACTATTCACGTCGTTGCTTGTAATGTGCTACCGTTTCTGTGCCAATATTTATTTTTGTCAATATTTATATATACATACTTCTATTTTTTTTTATTATTTTACTTTTCGAATTTTCATGATTTGAAAAAATGTAATGAGGGAAGTATTCAGAGAAAAAAGATTATTATAAAACAAATATTTGGATACGATAATAAGATTTGAATCCATTTTATCTAGTTTTTAAACGCCTCCATTTAAATATTTTGGTTTTTCAACACACTTTACAAGATATTGTTTTATTCTAAAAGCATTATATCTTACACCCATAAATACTTAACAACAAATATAATATTTACCTCAAGTCGATTTAGTTGATAATCGTTTATTTGTGATAGTAGAAGAAAAGAGAGGATATTTAAGACGCGGTGTTATTTTTAAAATTTGAAATATCGTCCTTACTATATACTCATCTATATCAATTACCGTCCATTTGTCTGTCTAGCATAGAACTAGATTTATTGTACGTACTTGTAGAACTGTAACAAGTCTGTATTATGTTAATATTGCTTTCTGAGTAAAGATATTTTACATGACAAAACAAACAATTTAATAGCGTGACTAAATCCTCGGAAATTGAAACTGAACTTAATGTGGGGCTTGAAAATTGATTTTACAGTTACAGTATTTGTAATTATATTACAAGGCTAAGCAATATGGTATATTATTTATTGTTTATACATGGTATTGTATATTATGTATGGTATTTTAAACTCGGAAGGCAACATCCATCTAAATATGAATATTACAACATTTTGACATAATATTTACAACATCACACACATCATCATCAACAGCCTATGATAGTCCACTGCTGGACATAGGTCTCTCTTCTGAAAGGAGGTTTTGGCCTACTATACCACGTTGGCCAGACGGGTTGGTATAGGTTTTGTTTCAAGTTTTTCTTCTCTTTGCGGTGCTGTTGTCTTGCGTAGTTTTCTCCCTTAGTCGACTTTTACGACACCCATGGGATGAATAGGGGTGGCGACATTACGTATTCTTAATCCGTCACCACACGGATGTATATTTAACAGTTGTATAGTTGTAGAACAACGGATGTATAGTTTCTTTCCTGTACCATGTTCCATATAGTTATGGAAGCACAGATTTCTGCACTTCATTGTTGCATGCTTAGTGACGTTAGTTGTGCTCACATATCATATTGCCTTTAATAGCAATTTAAATTCATGAATTGACCTTATTTAGATCAGTTACTTTAAAATCGATGAGACGAGAACTAAAAAATATACGTAATGTGTTAAGGATTACTTAGAATCACCCACGATATTTGGGTAAGATCCGATAAAAAATAAAACAAATTTTAATTTGGGATTTATCCATACTCACCGAGGTCTATCCAATGCTATCGGGGTAATGTGGGAAAATTTAGTAGAATTAAAAACCAAGTAAGTACTAAACTATTTTAAAGTTTTATTAATTTTCATTTATGTAAACCCGACCTGTCCCCGCAGCCACACTGAGGACGGTATGAGGCGCTTGAAAGCGCAATTCCGCTCTTCCTCCCTGGCCCTCTCCGCCGCCTCCTTCTGCAAAATTACCTGCTCGAAGAAGGATGCGACGACGATAAAACATCTGCTGCTACTGGCCATGGAGCGTATAACTGCCAGTAGTGAGAGATCCTCG